AAATTCCCCTGCAGTATCCAGGGATATGCAGGCTAGGTGGATTAGCCATGGTAAATGCTGGGTTATGGGAAGAGAGTGGGGGGTCTGGGTGGAATGCCCTTCAGATGGTCAGTGTGGACTTGATGGGCTGAATGGCCTCTTTCTGCATTGTAGGAATTCTATCATTCTTATACAGGTGCAACATGACTTGCCAACTTTTATACTCAATGTCCTGACTGATGAAGGCAAGCATACCGTGTGCCTTCTTTATCACCTTATTCACTTGTGTTGCCACTTTCAGGGAGTTACGGACTTGGACCCCAAGATACCATTGTATATCAATGCTCCTAAAGCTCCTGCCACTTATTGTATACTTTCCTCTTGCTTGACGGATGGCTTTGGTAGAATTCTGCAGATGACACAAAAATTTGTGGAGTTGTGGATAATGAGGAAGATTAGTAGCTCAGGTTGCGAATGCTGTGGTTGGTTTGCTTGCCGAGCTGGTTTGTTTGTTTACAGACATTTCATTAGCTTGCTGGGTTACATCATCAGTGCAGCCTCCAATGAAGCATTGTTGTATTTGACCCGAGTTTAAATAACAAGCGGGAAAATACAACAACGCTTCATCGGAGGCTGCACTGATGACATAACCCAGCAGGGTAATGAAACGTCTGCAAACTAACAAACCAGCTTGGCGAGTGAACCAACCACAGTGAGGAAGATTGTCAAAGGATACATTAATTCCAACAGTGTCATCCATTGACCAGAACTGGCATGTAGATAACAAGCTTCCACTGCCTTGACAGATTGGCAGGTGCTCTGCAGTATGCCCCACATGGTTTCATGGATTGTGGTCTGTCACACGCCGCAAGCCACGGCCATTAATTCCTTTGATTAGAATGACTGGGAACAGCAACACACCTCATCAAATGGTGATGAATGGGAACACATGACTTGAGCCTTTAATGAATACTAGGACTCTAACCAGATATACTAGGGATAATCTGATATACATGAGACTCGCCTAAGATTGACAGTCCTAATCCTATCCAATTATCAAGACAGATTTGCACGCTCGGGATGTCTTGCAACCACTGCCTCCCTATGTCCAAGAGCTAACTCTAAACTGGTGTCCTCTACCACCCAGAAATAGCAAGAGGAGTGGACCTCCGTCACACACTTTCTCTCAGGAAGATTCGTATGCCTGCAGGCATAAATTAAGCAGCCTACCAGGAAAAAGGTCAATGGCACTTTAAAAAAATGAAGAGTAACAAAGGCAGTGACCACATGGGCAGTGATTCAAACAAAGAAGAAAACCTATACTGCTATCTGAACCAGCAGTAACCTGCACAGCTGCTGCCTTTGCTGTCTGGTTTCAAGTATCCGTGGCCATGGAGATCCCTCTAAGAAAAATAAACAAAAGCAAAATTCACAGCTGACCTTGAGAAAACCTGTGTGTGGGTGCTCACAGCAGGGGAGCAGCTAAGCAGGTTTTTAAAGTGTAACCTTACTGTTTTAATTTTGTAACTCTACAATAGTGAATAGAGTAGGTGCTTTTTTTAACTGTATCTTGTTATTGAGATCTGTCTCTTGATTAAACTCTAAAAATATAAGAACATAGGTACTAAGCTGACCTGGAACAGCATTTTTAGAGCAGTAAGACTGTGTTATTTTCTGGGTCTGTAGATTGTTAAAGTGCAAAGATGACCTTTAGTGGAGTGATGTGCTCTTCCTGTCGGATGTGAGAGATTAGGGAGTATTTCCATATTACTGATGATTATGTCTGCAGGAATTGTGTTTGATTGCAACTTTTATTGGATCACATGGATCAGTTGGAGCAGCAGTTAGAGACAATGAGGAATTTACAGGAGCTAGGGGATGTGACGGATTGTATTGCAGGGAGGGAGATAAACCAAAGATACATTCAGCTAGATGGGTGACCTCCAGGAAATGTAGAGCAGGATTCTCCTGTGGTTATCCCCATCACAAACAAGTATACCGGTTTTTGAAAACGTAGGGGATGATGGACTCTCAGGGGAACGTAGCACTGGCAGACAGGTTTCTGGTACCAAGACTGGATCTAATGTAACAAGGGGTATACCAGGTTCCAAGCAATCGTTTGTGATAGGGGACTCACTAGTCAGAGGCATAGACAGACAACAATGGAGACAACACTGCGGCCGACAGCGAGACATCAGAATGGTGTGTTGCCTCCCTGGAGCCAGGATCAAAGATGTCTCAGAGAGGGTGCAGAATATTCTCAACAGAGAGAGGGACCAGTGTGAGGTTGTTGTACACATTGGAATTAACTACATAGGAACAGAAAAGGATGAAATTCTGAGGACAGATATAGGAAGTTAGGCAGGAATATAAAAAGTAGGTTCTCAAGGGTAGTAAGGCAGATGAACTCAGGCTATGGTTAGAAACATGGGACTGGGATATCATAGCAATTATGGAGACATGGCTCAGGGGTGGATAGGACTGACAGTTTAATGCTCCAGGGTATAGATGCTATAGGAAGAATCGAAAGGGAGGTCTAGGTTTCTCACCCTCACTTGCCTAGCCATTGTTGTATCGAGTCTATGGATAAAGATTGGCATGCAGGTCACAGCACATCAGTCAACTGTTTGCTTTGGCTCTCTGTGGCAGTTGCCAACTTCTCCAAGGAGAAGTCATGCGCTAATGTGCCTGAGATATGGCAGACGTCATGGCTTTCCATAGTCTGTGCAAAACTGCTCAGAACCCCTAGCATCTCCATCATATGTTGTTTTAACTGCTGCATTTCTGGCAGGCTTCTTATGACCACTACCAAAGAGCCTGTTTTCTGCAGGGGGCTATGCCTGGACAGCCCTCAGAGTGTCAACAACCTTGGTGGTGACAGCCTCTAATAGTTGCTGGGATATGCATTCATTAGAAACTGACCCCAAATCTGAACACAACACATTCATGATCTTGGAGGGTGCACCTCCGCTGGGGAGGGTGAAAGGCAGGCAGGTAACAGTGCATCCTCTGGTGTTGTTGTCCCTGGAGGTGGTGTCTTCACTCTTCTGAAGTGGCTGAGGCCTATGTTCTGGCATGCAGGCACCTGTATAAGGAGAACAAAAACAAACCCTTTAAAACAGAGAGATTCTGAGCACTACACAATGCTCAGTGTGGTCCTGAGCACCCTTTATGGCTCCAGCAGGTCGAGTTCATTCTCCTTCTGATCCCCGGCCACTCCAGCCTTGCCATCAACAACAGATTGGCCTCCTGTTCTCTGCAGGCCTGCTTCCTCAGCAGTGGCAAGGACCATAAGATCAAGCATACTTCTGCCCATCTTTGTCCTTGCTGTCTGATTATGAATCTGCTTGTCCTTTACAAGAAAGTGGAGAATTAACAAACTGACAAATGCTACCAATGCCCTACCAGATAATGGTAGCTTATATCAAACTGCTTACTCAAGCTAACCTGACCTCATCTGTCATGCAGTCTGAAGGCAGATCACACATTCATCCTCCTTGCCTAGTTGCCCACCACACAAATACATAGCCTAATGTCCAAGACAAACAATGTTGCATAACTGTGACACTTATCCAGGTGGATTGATGGAGATCACTGTTCCTTTTGTGACACTGCACCTGTGATCTTTGGCAGACCTAACCTCTGCACTCTCTCTCTAGGTCCTGTTATCAGGCATGTAGGTCAGACTACTGTTGCCATTGCTCAGAAAGTGCTTCACCCACTATTTCAAATTGGTCTGGATAGGATTTGCAGGATGCATCGGAATGTCTCTGCTTTGACTGATTGAGTGTAAAGGGTTAAACCTAACGGTGATATTCTAATAAGGTGGTGTACACCATAGCAAGTGATGCAATGTCTTAAGAACAAGGTCTCTCCTCCAGCCTCATGCCAAGATGGAACCATGGTTAGGTTTTTCTTAAATAGATTTGATGTTTTCCTTACTTCAACATGCTCTTGAGGTATTCCTTACCAGCATCTCAAGGCCAAGAACATCAAAAGGGGATAAAGGATGGGGGCGGGGGCGGGGGCGGGGGCGGGGGAAGAGAAGAGGTTCACAAAAAAACGCCAATTTTTGATAAAAAGGAGTAGAAAAAAGTTGGGGCCTTGCCTGTCCGGGTGGCTCTGCTACAGTCCTGCTGGACCTGAACTGTCATCAGATGAGGTTATCTTGTAATGGAAAATTGTCCCCATCCACGCAATTGCATATATTTCACACGCCCGCTACTGGTCCTTTAAATATTGATAGGAATCGAGTGAATACCAGCTCCACGAAAACAGAAGAGGGTGTCCACTTCTGCTTTCGTCGCCTGGCATCACAAATCACTGATTAAATGTCACGCTGTTGAGCCCAGGAACGTTCGAAACTAACTGAATAATTTTGAGGAACGGCACCTCAGGTTTCCGTTTAAAATAAAGTAAATCCTGGATTCCATTCGGCCTGGGAGCTTGAAATGTGCAAAAGCGTTTACAACATTACAATTCACCCGGGGTGGGGGCTGACAATCAGTCACAACATACCCCGGCCCCACTATTTCCCCAAGAGACAGGAACACGGCGCGGTGAGGGTCACTAACACGAAATACTGAGCAAGCTTTTCCAGAGGTGGAATGCAGTACAGGTGATAGTGAGGAGTTAGTCCTGGTCTGAGTGGTTTCCATAAAAGCCGTGATAAAGTCCAGGGGGAAGGGAGTACAGTGTGGAGCTGGAGGAACAGAGCAGGCCAGGCAGCATCAGAGGAGCAGGAAAGTTGGCGTTTCGGGTCGGAACCCTTCTTCTGTGTTATCTCTGACTCCAGCATCTGCAGCTCTTACTATCTCAGAGGGAAGGGAAGTAGCTTTCATGTGTTTTGGTCTCCATGGCGACCCCGGGCTCATCCGGTAACGACCCGTGAGCAAACCGCCCTCGGAAACCACGAAACCCTCATGGGAATTATTCTCTCACCACAGGCACAGCCCTCGGGTATTTCTCCGCGTTCCCGCCGCCAGCTTTTTCCCGTTTTCCGAGGCAGGTCGGACGGCGCGCGACGCCGGCCGGGTCGCCGCAAGATGACGCCGCCACCATCGCCTGTGCGCGGGGTGAGGGGCGGCGTCGCGCTGTGATGACCTCTCCAGCGGTGACGTGTCTTCGGTCAGAATGGCGGCCGACATCACGCTGTTGTTCCGAGCGAGTGTGAAAACCGTCAAAACTCGGAACAAGGCGATCGGTGTCAGTGGCGAACCGGTCAAAGAGGAGATCCTGAGGAAGGGGAGGACTAGGGCCGAGTTCACCGCCCGGGCCAGAGAAGTGGTGAGTGCCAGAGAGAATTGAAACAATGCAGGGGGAATACGGAGGTTTCCTATTGAACGTTGGAAAGAACAAAAACAGAAGTTGCTGGAAAGGCTCAGCAGGTCTGGCAGCATCTGTGAAGAAAAAAGTCAGAGTTAACGTTTCGGGTCCGGTTACCCTTCCGCAGAACTGTCAACTTAAACAGAGGCCACCGAGCCCTACACCTCCTCAAACCGCTGCCTTCATCCGCAACAGATGCGGCAGAGACTGTCTTGCCAGAGTGGCTCACGCTGGAAAGTGTTGTATTTCTGTGGCACCCTTTACGTCTAGCGGACACCACCCCCCTCCCCCTACCCGCCGAAAGCGTTTTACAGCCAATGGTGCATTTCTGAAATGTAGTCATTGTTGTGCTGTAGGCAACACAGCGGCCAGCCAGTGTGTGCACAGCAATGTGGTATAAACATAGTAGCTCACTGTCTAGCACGAAAATGATTTGCTTTCCGGTGGTCACCTCTCTGTTGAGCATCACCAGCTACGTGGCTCAGATGTGCCACTCTGGCATGACAGTCTCAGCCGCATCTGTTGAGGATGAGGGCAGTGGTTTGAGAAGATGCAGGACTCGGTGGCCTCTGTTAGTTGGCAAGTTGGCCGTTTTATCAGCCAACCGATCTCTTTTTGTTTCTGTTAGTTTCATTCAAACAGTCAACCTCCAGAGTCAGGGCCGTCTCTGTATGCCGTTGTAACAGGTGTGGATGCCCAGGAAGTCATGGTGCTATGTAGACAGTTCAGTTTACAGATGATCATTTTCTGTTGAATGTGGCCAGGTCAGCACAGACATTATGTTCCAGACCTCTAAGTTTGTGTCCTTAGCCTGCCAAGAGATGCTGACATTATGTTTGCGACAGTGAAGGTGAAAACTGTTCCATAGATAATTTGCTGGTTACTATGGAGTCTACATATGTAAGACTGTAGACAAACTCCAGTGTCACATTATCAATGCTGATAGATGGCATATGGCAACATTCTAAAAATGATCCTGATACTATTGGTCATACCACCAATTTGCAATGTGAGAGAATCTGTCAGAATTCCACTCAAGGTGTTGCTCAGTATGGAATGTTAGTGTAGCATTGTCAGCCTAGAGCAGCTGTGATGAGAACTTGATGCTGTTTGTCTTAGATCTTAGGTGGGCAAGGCAGAGTAGGTTCTGTCAGTTCTAGTATGTAAGTAGGTACTATGTACGGGTCACCAGCTAGGATATGGCATTAGCAAAAAGGGGTATATGCCAAAAGGTGTTGGTGTCACACTGCAGATTTCAAAGAATGCCAATCTGACCCTAGCTGACCTTGCTCAGCATTTTGTTAAGGAAATAAGATCTCATTGAGCAGCTTCGGCAGGTGGCCAAAGCATAAAAGTTGAACATATATACAAATAAATTCTTCCCTGCTTCTTCTGAATGGACCTTTTAAATTTCAAATCTAATGCTGATCTTGCTTTTTGTGCACCTTCTTTGCAACCATAACTTTGTATTCCTCACTCTGTTCAATCACCCTATGATCTTTGTATGTTATGATTTGCCCATACTGCGCACAAAACAAAATTTTTCACCATACTTAGGTACATGTGACAATAATAAATTCAATCAAATCAAGCAGCATAAATGGCCTGTCTCGTCTCACGTGGTTGAATGCCTTGGTGAAGTGAAAGTCCTTGACATATTGTTGCCATTGCTTGCATAATTTCTCTTGCAGCTGCTGGACAGAGAAGATCATGTCAATTTTAAATCATCCAGTTCGGAAACTACACAGATTCAAAAAGATGCGTTCAGCCAAGATCTGGAGTCTAAGGAAGGCAATGCTGGAAGATTTTTTTTACCATGCCACTCAGCAGGGAGATGCCTTTATAGCTTTGCAATTGTTGCAGTTACCCTTGTTCTTATACAGGGTATTAGTCTTAGAATCATGCATATCCTGGGCACTGCCACCTCCTTCCAGCAGATGCTGCAGGAGTGCTGGTTTTTGTGCCTAATGTATTTAGGTCATATAACACAAGCACCTTCAGCTTTAGGCACAGCCATAAATAGTGTAACTGAGTTGTGGATTCAATATCTGGCTCTGCCATGACAGGCAGGCTTTCATGTTGTCTAGAGCTTCCTCAGTCTGTACAGTATATTTCACAGTAGTGTTTGAACTATCTCTCCAACTGTATATTTTGTTATTGATTACTGCCCCTGACTTTGCTAACAATGGAGCTGTTTTCTCTGCTGATGGAACTGTTGCTTTTTGCTTGCTTCATACGTGCCTCTGACATCCCCGTATCGAAGGACATCTGTCCCTGCTGAAGCCTGCAGTTATTGCGTGTGTCTAGCAGTCTGTTGGACTTTATTTCGAGCAGGTCTTAGTGCAACAGTGTATGTTCAGTCAGATTTCTGTTGTAGTTGGTGAGAGGAAAGGAACCAGATCACCTCTGTTTTTATGTTGTTTGTTTAGAGATATTTAACGGCTTTGATAACAGGGATAACTCCACTGCTTTTTGACCTAGTGCCATTTGTGACCATCCGAGAGAGCAGACAGAGACTCAGTTCAATGTCAAAACTGAAAGACAGCACCTCTGACAATAGAGCACTCCTTCAATACTGAACTGGAGTGTCAGCCTTGATTTTTGTCTTGAAGACCTAGAGTGGGACTTGAATCTTAAACCTCTGATTTGAGTGACAGTCTACCAACTGAACCATAGCTGATACATTTACATATTATCATGAAATCCAGAAGCTCTTCACAATCAGTGTTGAGATGTAATCACTTTTATTATGACAGCCATATTTCACACAACAACGATCCTCAAATTGTACAGAGATGACCAGTTAAGGCTCTGTAACCAGTAGTGATGGTTGTGCTGAAGACAACATAGCAATGCAGAATACCTTGCCTTGTCGTGTGTATGTGTCACTAAATAATCAGTAGTTGCAGTCGATGATGCATTGTAAAAGTGCAGCCAATTGTGTTGACAAAAATGCCAGCCTGTGTGTTCATGCAAGGTCCTATAAATGTAAATGATTGAATAACCAGACAATCTGTTCAGGAGATATGGGTAGATGAGAAATGTTGGCCAGCGTACTAAGCACTACTGTTGTTCCAACAAATGAACAAGGAACAAGAACTGGCCAGTAAGCCCGTCGAGCTTGCTCTGCCATTCAATTAGATCATGACTGATCTGATTTTTAACTTCAACTCTACACTCCTGCATACCCCCAAACAATTTTTCATTCCAGTAGCACCGTGAGATTATTTCTGCTGTTTTGAGTAGATAAATAGGCCCTCAGTATAATGCACTCAGAGATAGCAAGAACTGCAGATGCTGGAATCAGAGATAACAGTGTGGAGCTGGAAGAACACAGCAGGCCAGGCAGCATCAGAGGAGCAAGAAAGTTGACGTTTCAAGTCGGGACCTTTCTTCAGAAATGAAAAGAAGGGTCCCGATCCGAAATGTCAACTTTCCTGGCCTACTGTATTCCTCCAGCTCCACACTGTGTTACCTCCGTATAATGCCTTGTCCAATTGTCAGTTGATAAATGCAGCACATGTTCATGATCGCACTTGAATGTCTGGCTAAGGGCTCAAGTTGTGTAGGGCCTAAATTCATAGTATTCTGATATAAAACAAAGA